TGATGGGTGAGCTTTTCCTTCAGAATGGGAACAGCACCTGATGCTAGAGCTTCAAAAGCCTCTACACACAGGCAGCCAGCGAGTGTGTCCAGTATCAGCTCTTGTATTTCATCCACTTCAGTTTTCAGTTTAAGAACAAGTGAAGAAACCAAACCATTTCCCACTATGTCAAAAGCACCTGCAAGAGGAGACCAAATAGAAACATGGACGGAAAGGGCTAAAGTATTTAATACTTCAATCAACATTTTTAAATTTGCTATCAAGGTCCCCAGCTACTGCTGTCCCCACAATAGTGTGGCGGTGAGGGCGATGGAGGCTGCTGTAACTCTGGGCACCTTATCAACACTCCTCCAACAGTTCCACAGGACTTATTTGGCAATTTTCACCCCTATTTGCAAACTGTGAGCCATGTATAGTTCTCCCAAAGGTATGCTGTTGCTGAGTCATTACCTTTGTTCAATCCAACATCGTTTGCTAAGAAAGGCAACAAATTGTCTCTGGCTACAGCTGATTCCGGGTCCTATAACAATTTCATCCCAAATGCTGCTCAAGCTACAGTTGCTCTGATGTTCCCAATACGCACGAGTGCAATATTTGTCCCTATAATAACGCCTGGTGAGAGATTACAGAAATGGAATAACTGTGAGCTCCCTTATGCTATTCCTTTTAATGACTTATACTCAGAGAAATGGATGGCTTTGGGCTGCCCAGCAGTCAGCACTTCTCTGTTTCCCAGAAAAAATAATCTTGCTGGATTTAAGCATAGCTCTGATCTGCCCAGCAAGCAAGTTCTCTGCAAGGGCTGAGTGGCTGACTTTTAAGTGTTCCATTTCCTAGACAATACTAACCCAACATTGAAACAGCATTGCCATGGAAAAGTAGGAAGAAGGGAACACATTGTCCACAAGTAACTCTGTGGAAACAAAATCCTCAGCGTCTGGGTGCTACGACAATTCTTTGGTTGCTAAGTGAAAAGTGGCTCCATTTGAAGTGATTCATATGAAGTTGGACAAGGAAGTTCAATGTATGAGAAGCAACAAGGCTACTTAAAACAATATCCTTATTCAGGGAAAAGGGGATCCTTCCCCAAGGATTTCAATGACCTTTTGGTAACCCATGAGAAAAATACCCAGAGCTTGCAATCAAATCTAAGAATACAGCCCTTTATCGGTATATGGAACAGAATAGTCCACACTCTACTTCTGAGATTTTGCTGATATTGAGTAATTTCATGTCATTAGTTAGCTGGGCATTACTCTCCTAATGCAGAAGGAATGACAGTGATGTTTATTTTGCTATCTGTGCACTTTTGGAAGCCATTTGCTGTCACAGTATAAAAACCATCAAGTTGGGAAAAATGAAAATTGGAATGGTAAAAATTATTGATGAAGGCTACAAATAAGTGGTAGCAGAGAAATAAGTGAAGCGGAGAACTGTGTATTGTGACAGAACAGTGCTGTGGGGAAAGCATTTAAATGTCATCTTTAATGCTGTGGATCAGATCATGTTGCCAAGGCATGATATTGTAAAGCATAATTTTCATTTTCTTTCCTTTAACCATTTTTGCTTCTTCATGTAGGAGGCCAGATTCTGGCCCCATGTTCCATCCTATTTGTGTTGCACTGATGGACCAAAAGGGCTGAGTAGCTTCTCTAATGGGCCAGCTAGAGATTCATCTCACGCTGACTCTCACTGACTTTTGGAGCTGTATTGGGATGGGTTGGACAACAGTGGTGATATTGCTGGGAGTTCTTTGTGTGCCAAAAACACTTAGGCAACGTCAAGTTCCTGGTGGAGAACCAACAACAGCAGCAAGAGCTAGGACTGCAGCAGCTTGCTACCCAACAGCTGCTCCTGCAGTTGACAGCTCAACATTGGGGGGCAACAACAGCTGCTGGCAGCCTTAGTTCACCTACCTATGAACCCACCATCTGTACTGGTCTCTGGCTGGAAGGAGGCCAGACTGACTGACTACCCTGCGTCCTGACCAGTTAATAGGCCCTGGAGCAGTGCAGTGAGGCAGCGTGGACTCCCTCCAGCCAGAGTCCAGCACCCCAGTGTTTAAAATTGCTTTCATAGTTGCTCATGTCCATGAGCCCGCTAGCACATGAGACTAAGATAGCCAAAAACTTCCTAGAATTTGCAAACGTCGGTCTGCCATGCAAACAACTGTATGCGGCACAATGGAGGATGTCAGTGTCAGAGGAGAATTTGACTGGAAGCAGATGATTCTGGCAGCCTCCCTCTACATCAGGCCTGGGCAAAATATGGCCTGCAGGCCAAATCTGGATGCAGTGGGGAGCCCCATGCAGGCTACCTGTTTCACTACCCATGTCGCATGCTGCTCAGAAACACAGCTGTGGGGCAGTTTCGCTTTAAAATCTGTGAGCTCTGAGGGGAGGGGGGAACACTTTAGGAGCTGCTCCTGCCACCAGCACAATCCCATTGGCCGGCTTTTGTCCAGAAACTGGCCAATGGGAGCTGCCTGTTTCAATAACAGGCAACCAAGAAGCACCACACTCCCTCCCCTATGCAGCTTGTAGTTATTCACAGAGCACATGGCTGCAGCCTATGCGGCGATGGGGCAGGCAGGGAGGCTGATTCAGGAAAGTGCTGGGCTGCTGGCTGGTAAGTCTCCTGGTCCAGGCCTTTTTCTGGCACCTCAGCTCCTCCCTCCCCCAACCCTCTACCTCCCACTCCTGTCCCCCTACTCCACGTACCCAAATCCTCTGCCCCCTCCTGCACTTATATCCCCTCCCAGATCTGGCAACCCAATCCCCTACCCCAGATCACAGTCTCTTCCTGCCCTAGCTCACAACCCAAACCCCTGCACTTCAATACCCTGCACTCCTTCCTGAACCCCAATTCCCTGACCTAGGTCATAATCCAACCCCCTGCACCCATTCCAGTGTCCCAGGTCACAACCAACTCTTTCATCCAAACTCCATCCCAGATCTCACTCTCCTTCTGCACCCAACTTCCATCCCAGACCCCGCATGTCCTCTATTAATATCATGGAAGAGTGCGGCCCTCAACCATTTCCAAATTCTTTGAGTGCCTCCCCCCCATCAAAGATTATTGCCCACCCCTGCTCTACTTCCTGTAGAGCTGCTATGATAGCTATTTTGTGATATTTTCAAACAGAAACCATATTTGAACAACTTGACCTTAAATTTCATTCTTCTCTGGTAAGATGGCATGCTAAATAAAAAATATAAAAATAAATAAAAATAGCGAGAAATGGAAGTTGAAAGATCTACATTCCTCCTCAGTTTAGGAGCTGTGTGTAGTTTTAATCCATAGCTGCATTGGGCAAGGGTCACTGTCTACGCATTAACCTTTCCTAGGGCAAATGTGCTTTTCTTGCAGCACACGCCACTCTGGTTTAAGCCAAGATAAACAATCACTTGCTCTTATTTTCCTTCTGTCTGTTATTACTTTTCTTTTAACTCTTTCTTCGTGCACGTTTTCAGTCCATGTTTATTAATCAATCAACTCTTCTTAATTCCTTTCTGCCAAATATTTGCTATGTATCTTTCTGCCTCCTGATATCTCATTATCCTTCTTTCTCGCACCATCCTTCATGACTGCTAGCCTAGCACTGGCAGGTAGTATCATGACTACCATTTCTCTTCCTGCAGCCATATGTGTCTTTTGCTGCATATCAAAATGGTCCATGTCTCTGTGTTTGCATCATTCACCTCTCGTCTCTTCATGTGACATAGATCTATTTGACTATTTGCCCCATTTTCATTGGTTATTTATTTTATTTCTGATAGGGCACATCTACACAGCAGGTCTAAACTTGAAATAAGCTACACAACTTGAGCTATGCTTATTGTGTAGTTTAAGTCAAAATAGCTTATTTCGCTGTCTTGAGGTTTACAGCAGTTGGAGTAAGAAGCCCGTTATTTTGAATGTATTTCAAAATAATGGGCTTACTGTGTAGATGCACACTACATTATTTCAGAATACTGAACATTATTCTGAAATAACACGGCTGTATAGACTTAGCTTTAATGTTTATTGACCTTCTTTGACTCAGTCATCTTTAATCAGCTGCATTTTTTCCTCTTTATGGCTTACCAATAGTGGAGGTGTTTGCTGCTGAGGCTCTGAATGCAAAACGTGTGTCACACCCAGGCATCTTGTCTCTTTCCGTTATAGTGAGTTGGCTGGGGTTGTACAGAGCATCTTATATAACGCCAATGGTGGGCTTGGCACTTGACAGAGTAGTGCACAGGGTCTCTTCCTAAAAGACCTTACTATCTACTGAAAGAGGGTGCTGGCTGGAATATAACAAGAAGCAGTCACAAAATTAAGGAATCACAGAAAGTTCCATAATTTCTGTTTAGTTTTTTTAAAATAAATATTTCATGTCACCTAGTTGTTCGTAGTTTTGTGCAGGCACTTTGGCTCTTTTAACTTCTCATATGCATCTGCGAGGACACGTGTTCTGTGACAAGGGGTTCAGTCTCTGCTTCAAGACAGAGCAGCTTGAAAGGACTGCTGCCCTGACGGGAAGGCACAAAAAAAACCTGTATAGTTGATATGACAGCTTCACCATCCCAAAGGCTTCCCTGCAGTCAAGCCAGCCTGGTGTTAGCAAAAAACTGATTTTCCACTGAGATATTGGCATTTCAAAGCTGATTTATTGGTTGCAGTAGCAGAGTTATGATTTGTCCGGTCTACCTGTTTGTGCTAGAATGTATCCCTGTATCCATGCCCTACCAGCTATAGTAATAATCTTTGGAAAAATATGCTAGTGAGGCATCATTTGAAAACTCGTAACTTGCTGATCATTATTGCCCTGATAGGATATGTGTGTCAACATTGTATGTGAAGTTATGAGATTAAGTGTATGGTATTCTTAACACATTACAATCAGAGATTGGCAAAAGAGCCTGTCTCAAACAAAGGAACATGTGCTCTGTTTAATTTGCATTTCATCAGAAAACAGAGTCATCAAGCAGGAAGGGGAAACAAAAGAAGTTCTAACAGGTGAGGAGAAGCAGCAGGGAACATCCTTCTATAGACTTCATTCCCTGAATCTCAGCTGGAAATGTTTTCCAAGAAGGGGACTGACACTATAAAAAGGGGGGTCAAAAACCCCAAGGGAGCTTCCCCTCCTCCCTGCTCTTTTATTCACTGCATCACAAAGGACAAAGGAAGCAGACTTTGAACTGGAGAAGTGGTGAGAACATTTTACTTTGAATTTAATGTAGTTTGTTAAGTTAGGAACCAGTTGTGTTTTATCTTGGTTTTTCTTGTAACTATTTTGGACTTTTATGCCTCATTACTTGTACTCACTCAAAATATCTTTCTTTTTAGTCAATACACTTGTTTTATTGTTTTGTCTTATCCAGTGTGTTTAATTTGAAGTGTTTGGGAAACTCCATTTGAAACAACAAGGTGTGTGTGTCTTATTTCTGTTAAAGAAATTCAGATTGTATATGAATTTGCACTGTTCAGGAGAGGGCTGGGCAACACAAGGCATACATTTTTGGAGAAACCTAGGACAGTTTGGTTTACCCTCTGGGTATATCTACACAGCAACATGATTTTTGAATAATGTCAGTTATTCCAAAATAACATATGTTGTGTATAGACAGTAAGTTTGTTATTTCAAAATTAATTCAAAATAGCGGGCATTTTACTCCAACTTCTGTAAACCTCATTGTACGAGGAGTAAGGGAAGTAAGAGGAAAAGTGCTCTATTTCGAAATAAGTGCTGTGTAGATGTGCCCAAATTTGAAATAAGCTATGGCAATTTAAGCAACGCATTTAGCGTGGCTTAAGTTGTGTAGTTTATTTCAAGTTTACCCTGCTGTGTAGACAAGGCCAGAGTGTGTTGGAATCACTCTGTAGCATAACCAGGGCTCGACAAATAATATAATCTACTCGCCCGGGGTGAGTAGATTGCAACCCAGAAGAGCCGGGTTTGGGCGATCTGCGCATGCGCAAAATGATCTGCGCATGCGCAGATCGCTGGACAGCACGGCTGGCAAGTGGGACTCACCACAGTTTGGCGAGCCCTGCTGGCTGATTGGCTATGGCACATGCAGACTTAGCTGGGAGTTACTTGCATGTACTCCAGACTGGAGAATACAGCAGAAGAGCATAGTAAAAAGAATCCCAAGTTAGACAGCAGGGTTGACACAAACCACTCATTAGTCTGAATTGTTCCCTGGGCATTTCACAGTGACATCTGAGGTTATGTGAAAGAAGTGCTACAAAATGCAAGATGCTATCATTGCAACTGCATTGTTAACATCATTATTGATTTGTTTTCTTCTGAGACTTGCATTTTTCTCATGGGTCACTTTTTCCTCTTATTTCCACACGCATCTTCTCCCTCTCACTGCTCTCTGGCCAGTCTCCCCTTTTCTGTGATTTTTTTTTTTTTGTAATAGACTCAGTGGATTGCCATTTTATTAGGTTCTCCTTGTTGGTCTATACAACATATATGCAACATTTTAAATGTTTTATGAAATTCTGGGGACATAATACATACTTGCAAATAACAATATTTTTAATTCCCTAAGCCATTGCACTACATTATTGATGACAAATGTCGTTTTAAAAAATCAAAGCCACTTAAAAATGTCCCTTTCAATGAGAAGCAAACATATGAAAAGCTCTGGTTAGTAAATATAGTTTAGTGGTGTGGATCACTATCATTAAGTTAAAGAAACTGGATTTATCTCAACACAGATTTCTATATTACAGGATGTTTGTTAACACGAGGCATTGAACTGAGATTTCTAGCTATTTACTTGTAGTCCTCAATAAAGCATCTATCTCATTGTAGCATAAGACAGAAAACTCAAAGGAGAAAACAGAACTGTGAATCAGAATAAAGGGATATGATACAACTTGTACACTGCAACAGTCAACATAGCATCCTCATTCAGCACATATAGCAGGTGAGAAAATCCAACATAGAAGTCCATTAGGTGATGGAAGCATGAAAGTGCATCCATAATAAATACAGTCAGTAAGTCTTACCCACATATACAACGCTGTGTTTATGCTATCATCAGCATTCTAGATTAGAAGCAACCTATTTTTAAGGTAGTTGTATGACTAGCCTGGTAGAGTAAATGTATGCTCGGTGTGTTTCTCCGGTATTTCCTTTCTGCAGTCCAGCTGGTAAAGGAGAGCCTCTCTGTGCTCCTCCCATCACAATACCTGATATACCACTGTGTAGTTTTCAAAATGTTTCATTCATCAGCCCAATGGGAAGAATTCTGGAGCACTGGTAATTTACAAAACAGTTTGCAAGTCCCATAGTAGCTAATGTAGTTTTAAGATTGAGAAAGCAGGATCTTCACACTCCCCTAAAAGACATATCACTAAGTATATAAAGGATAGCAGTATTCTTGAACGAGACTAACATTTCCTTCCAAGGTGTTTGGATCAGTGGATGAGCCCCTCCAAAAGTGAAAAAGGCCCACCAGAGTGCACTATATGACGTCCAGCATCTAGCTAACTATGTTGAATCTTCTTGTTGAAGGGAAACACTCTATAGACATTCCTGAAATGTCAAACTAATTCTCTTTTAAATGAAGAACCAAATGTGAGCTTTGTTTTACAGTAAAGTTGGCATAGAAAGAAAGTCAGTAGCTCCAAGAATAGTTAGAGAACAAAAATTATCTTATGTCTGAAACTTCTCAAGCAGGCAAAAAGGAGTACACTTTAGGGTTTCCACATTAAAAATAGATTATGTATGACTTTTTTACATAGGAATTACACGCTAGATCAGACCAATGTGTGTCAGTGGTCAGCACCAGACGTTTCATGGACAAACACAAAAAACCCCTCCACCTCTACTGTGAAAAATTATGGAACATCTGTTTCTTCCCAGCCCTGTCAGTGACTGCTTGGCGTGTGTCCTGAAGCATGAGCATTTATTAAACAATTTTTATCCTGTCTAATATAACTCTGTTCACCATCCATATAAATGTCTAATCTCTTAGAGCTGACATTCGTATTGCTTGCTCTCAAGGTCTGAGTTCAAATGATATTCAGTGAATTAAAGTATTCAGAGAATAGCTAGTCTTTAGGATCTGTGCCCGAATCAAGTTTCAGATGTGACAGATTACAAATCCCTTGGTACTTTTCTGAGTAGTAAGGGAGACATACAAATATAAGAGATGAGCAAAGTGATTCATGAAACATCTTGCCATAAAAGATACTGATGACATCATTGCTTCCACAAACAGTTGGCATAATTTATTAAAGTTATTTACAGAAAGGAAAGATAATTTAGTGAGTATAACAAAATGAACATGTTCATAAGAGAATTTGGATTGATTCAAGTCTCTTCAGTTAATACTGGATCTTTTACCTGCCGAAATACTTGCTCAGGTAGATCAAGGGCCCAGACAATCATTAACTGTTACTACAATAAACCTCTACCAGATCTAATCATTTATCAAACTGCTGCTCTGCATTTTCCATTGACTGTCTGACTCACATACTGTCCACAGCTCTCCGAGTCTTGTTGCATTGTTTTTTTCATTATTTGTTCTATTGCCTATGTTCCTATTTTAAACAAGCTTTGATATTATATATATGATATTCTCATTTAAACAATTTTCCATATTATATTTATGAAAAGTCATAAAACTGACTCTGTAAGCAATTATTTTAGGTTCTGATTTAAGGATGGACAACCCAATATTTAAAAGACAAAAAAAAATTTAATTGCAGCCAAGGGATACGTTAAAACATAAAGGAATAATCCATATTTGTGGTACACAGGCTCTGTAATTAGATACACTTATTATATTTTCTATCACAACCATGCCAAATGAGATCACGGTTCCACTCTGCTAGGCAGTGGACAAATGCGTAAGAGCCAGTCTCAGTTCCAACAACATTACAGACTAAATGGACAAGAGGGACACAGGAGGGCAGGAGAAAGAAGAGCATAGAGTGGTAGATGTTTAACATCACACAGCAGGTCAGTAGAAGGGCAGGGAAATGTTCCCAGATCTCTTGAGGCTCCGCCCACTGCTGCATCCACTAGATCAGTGGTTCCCGATTTTATTTGGCCACGGAACCCTTTTCAGCTTAAAATAATTTCAAGGAACCCTTAGGGTTCCCAGAGTAAAATTTGAAAAGCAAAAAAAAAAAAAAAAGCCCTGCCAGAATTGTTTGAGCAAAAAAACCTGCAAAATACTCTGTCTCTTTAAGAGGGGGCGGGGCAATGCCGTGTTCTTGAGTAACCCTTACTTTTGCTTTGCGGAACCCTGGGGTTCCACGGAGCATCAATTGGGAAACACTGCACTAGATAGACCTCGCTACCTCTCAAAACCCTCTCGCTTATACACGCTCTGATAAGTATGCACAGCTAGTATGAAAAATAACATTCATTTTCATCTGTAATCTATTCCTATATGTACATCTGGCATTTTAGCTCTCTGTCTCCATTTTCGGATAATTTTCTCAGAACACTCCCTTTTGGACTGAAATGTCTTTCATTTGGTCTCAATGCAGAAATACAGCTTTTATGTTTCATAAAAATATGTTGAGCAGTTTGAGTTACCTGAGCATAGTGTTTCATACCTGTTAATTATTTTAAAACAATATTGTTGTAATTAGGCTTTTAATTTGTAAATTTCATTTAAATAAGAGCACATTATGAATTTCTGAAGCTTTAATATATTTTCTAACTTAAAACTTAAAAAACAAAAAAGCCCTCCACATCTCTGCACTAGGGATATAAAGCGTTGGTTAAAATGGTAGCTATGTATTTGCTGAAAATCTCAGAGGTTACACAGTTACACGTGCTCCGAGCTCTGCAGCATAAATAAGCTTATTTATATTGTAGAGCTCACAGCAGAGCCTCAGAAGAAGCAGGTCTGCCAGCTTCCTATCTTTCCTAGGCAGTTTGCTCTTGGGCCCTTAATAATGTCACTTTGAAAAATTGCCAACTGTCTTCAGTTGTGTTTCCTGTTAGTCTTGCTTCCCATGGGACCTGGCCTACCAGCTCTCTGAGTTTACTAAAATCTGCCCTTCCTGAAATCCATTGTCTCTATTTTGCTGTTCTCCCTTCTACCCTTCCTTAGAATCATCTATCATTTCATGATCAGTTTCACCCAAGCTGCCTTCCTCTTTCAAATTCTCAACCAGTTCCTCCCTATTTGTTAAAATCCAATCTAAAACAGCTTCCCCACAGTAGTTTTC